AGGCCTTAGTTTTGCCCCGACGTCGCTCGGCCGGCTTAAATCCCTGTAGACTGGTGTAGCAGACTTGAGTCTGATAGTTTGGGCCTTAGTTAGGCGATACTCTTTCTCCGATTATAGTTATCCTTATTTTCCCCGATGTTACGGCTTCACGAGTTACATCAGCAACACTAGTTCTACTTCGCGATTTGAATTTGGTTCCAAGGACTTTCATTGATTGGCTATGTGTGGACGGCGTTTCACGGACATTTATGAGTATGGATCGATTGGGACTCTTTCAACAGCTACATTGGCACCTTTATAGAGCATCCGGTTAGAGTTCCGGCCTCTATTGCCCAGTTACTTATATAGAGCATCGGTTTATAGTTCCGGCCTCTATTGCTCAGATACTTATATAGAGCATCCGGTTTAAGGTCCGGCCTCTATTGCTCAGATACCTATATAGAGCATCCGGTTAGAGTTCTGACCTCTTATACTTGTTACTTGTGATTGGTTACTTAGGTACTTTTGGTGAGCATCCGGTTCGAGGTCCGGCCTCCGTACTGTCAGATTCTACTAATTAGGGTTGAGGTTCTGGTTCGATGTTCTTCGTTCATGGGTTCTTTTATGCAATTCTCTTTAGTTATAGTTATTTTGTGTACTCGTCGTGCTTATGGGGGTCCGTTTGGGTTTTTATTTAACTTGCGCACGAGTGTACCTTCTGGGCTTATGGGGGCCCAGTTAGGTGTAGTTAGCTTATAGATTACTTTAGTTAGTTCTTTGTACACTCGTGTGCATTCCCTTGTTAGTTAGATTTTAGTTCTTGACTTCGGTTTGTGTTATTCCTTCTTTTCATACTGCCTTTACTTTTCAAGTTCAGTCGGCCTATGATGCCTACTGGGTACCTGTTGTTTTGGTACTCATGCTACGCTCTGCATCTGTTTCGTGATGCAGGTCCGGGCACTAGTAGCCAGCGTTGATCGAGCTTGGAGCAGACTGATCCGGAGACGGGAGTGAGCACACGACGTTTTGTACTATTTCAGTCTCCATCTGTATATATAGACTTGTCTTTTACCTTTCGAGACAGTCCAGTCTCAGTTGTCCACTTTTGGGACTTGTACTCATTTTGTTAGTAGCTCTGTACTAGTGACTTCCAGGTTCAGGGAGGGATGTTTATTTGTATTTATGTTTTGGTTTGCTTCCGCCTGTGTATATTGTTATTTGCCTACTCTTGTTTAGTTTCTACCCTCAGACCCATTACGTGTTATTGCGGGTTACGGGTTGGCTTACCTGCTGGTGGGTTATAATAGGTGCCATCATGATTTGAGAAATTGGGTCGTGACAAATTGGTATCGGAGCATAAGGTTCACCGGTCTCACTTGCACAGATCTAACGTCTAGTAGAGTCCTGCGGATCGGTGCGGAGACGTCCGTAACTTATCTTCGGGAGGCTACAGGATGTCATTAGGAAAATTTCCTCTTTTGTTTCGCTTTCGTGCAGCGTGTGTCGTATTGGTTTCTGGAAATTTTACTTGTTTCACTCTTTCGCAGGATGACTCGCTCGCGAGGTGGCGCGGCCAGGGTGGTGCACCCGGGCCTGCAGGCAGAATCCAAGGACTTACATTGATTGGCTAAGTATGGACGGAGCTCCAAGGATATTTATGAGTGTGGATCGATTAGGACTCTTTCAGCAGCTACACTGGCACCTTTATAGAGCATCCGGTTAGAGTTCCGGCCTCTATTGCCCAAATATTATTATAGAGCAACCGGTTTAAGGTCCGGCCTCTATTGCCCAAACATTTATATAAAGCATCCGGTTAGAGTTCCGGCCTCAGATACTTGATACTTATTAATGGTTACTTTGGTACTTCTGGTGAGCATCCGGTTTGAGGTCCGGCCTCCGTACTATCAGATTTTACAAATTGGGGTTGAGGTTTTGGTTCGGGTTCTCCATTCCTAGGTTCTCATATGCAATTCTCTTTAGTTATAGTTATTCTGTGTACTCGTCGGGCTTATGGGGGTCCATCGGGTTTTTATTTAACTTGCGCACGAGTGTACCTTCTGGGCTTATGGGGTTCCAGTTAGCTGTAGTTAGCTTATAGATTACTTTAGTTAGTTCTTTCTACACTCGTGTGAATTCCATTGTTAGTTAGATTTTATTTCTTGACTTCGGTTTGTGTTATTCCTTCTTTTCATATTGTCTTTACTTTTCAAGTTTAGTCGGCCTATGATGCCTACTGGGTACCTGTGTTTTGGTACTCATGCTACGCTCTGCATCTATTTCGTGATGCAGGTCTGGGCACTAGTAGCTAGCGTTGATCGAAGTTGGAACAGAT